TTTATACCCATTCTTGGGTAGTGAAATGCATGGGTCTTGCATATATATATAAAAGTCAACTTGTGAATGGAATGCATGCTTTTCTGTAGCAGTTGCGTTTTTGTGACTTGATTCCATACATGTACTACAATATTGAAAACCTTTCTTTACATGTTTGAAAAATACACTAAAATATTGGTGTCACATGAACTTTTGTTGTTGAGTATATGTATATGTGCTACAAAGTGGTACATTTAGGCGCTGGTATTCCCTTCATATACTGACAATGGTTGCCACCATATATCTTGTATAGCTCCTGTTTTTCGCGATACAAGCCCCCCTGTGTAAATCTTGTCGAAGGACATTGTCTATTGGACTATGATTGGACAATATGAGACCAACCATATACCCGAAGCTTACGTTAAACACCCCCGTAATGCCCAGCGCCAGGCAGCGTATCAACAAGTACCATCTTTTAATGTCTCTTGGTATGGCGCAGTCGGGTATCAAACCACCGACACCGCGTATGATAAGAGACTATTTGGCCAACTGGAAACATCACATTTAAAGTTACAGAAATCGTTTCCGTCACATGCCTTACAACCAGTTGTTTTGTGTGTTTCTGATATTTCGAATTGTGACCAAATCTGTGATCCGAAGCATTGCCACCCTCTTTGTTTACTGTTTATATCTACTTGATTCTCCTGGGTAAACTCAGCTTGGGTTAAGGACTCATTTTCAAATACAGTAAACTACGGTTATAACGAACACGCTTATAACGAACTGACCGATATAACGAACTTACTTGTTAGCCCCGGCCATGTGTTGCATATATGCTGTATATATGCTTATAACGAACTACGGTTATTGCGAACTAAAATGGGTGGTCCCTTTGAGTTCGTTATAACCGGAGTTTACTGTATTAAAAAACACACCCGAAATCCCATAAAATCAGCCTTTTTGACACATTTTAGCCCGAAGGGATGCAGGTTTACCACTTTGTTAAAATACACGAGTTCGGAAATGGTGCTGACAAACCTAGAACATAATCAGGGCGAACTGGGATTCGAACCTACTATGATGGGTTTCTGGCACATCTAAGAGACGCAACTCTGCACAGCGGATTGCATGGCCTTAGACAATGGGGCCGCCCTTGCCCCTTTAAATTGTGAAGACCTTGTGGACCAAATGGGCTGGGCCCGTGTCATACATTCGCCTTTCCGCTCTACGTCTGACTGTCTGACTGCATACTTTCAAAAGTAGATTTTGTTCCGCTTTTTCAACGCTGCTAAAGTGACAAGAAAGTTGGACAGTCACGACGATAACAAATCAAATCATATAAAAACAATCTGTTTTTCGTTTTCCCTTTTACCCTTAAGACACGTTCATGAGAAATGTTCATGTTCTTCTCTCGTAATAGGAGCAAATTCTCTCCGCCTGTGAGAGATCGCATTTCGCCTGTTGACGTTGTTACGAACTGGAAAACAGCACCGATGTCATTTTCAGCTTGCTAATGTATTATGTACATGTTGTAGAAATATTGTTTGAAGTAAAATGGCAGAATAATGAAAACAACCCAATACAATTTCTTCTCAAAACGACATTTTCTTCTCATAAATATAAACGAGTTTCCGTCAATAATCACGTTTGTTTACTTTGTTGCCATGGAAATGTAGATCACTTGTTCGAGGAGGGGTATAGTAATCAGCTTGTCTCTCAGTCCGTCTGTCCTTCTGTAATCATTTCTTGTATTGATCCTACCCCTAAAACTAATAGATATTCTTTCATGACACTTTGCACACACACAAAGTCCAGGTTCTCAACTTTTTGCTATTTATTAGGAATTTCTAGAATATACATTTTTTCCGTTTCCACGGCAACTTTTTTTACTTTGACTCTGTCCATAGTGGTGTGTTTGTCCGGACCATATCGCTCGCCCTGATAGATATTCTTTTAACACACAAAGACCAGTTTGTCGATTTGTGCCTTTACCAGACAATCCAGTGTTTGACATCATGAGCATCGATCTACGCATCTGGGATACACATCATGCAGAAAGTACACATTTAGTGGTATTAATTTCTGGTTATCTATGTCATTGTGACGTCATGGATTGCTCGATGGCTGGATAGTTATCAAAAGTTATCAAAAGCATATGGTACAGACTATTTCAGAAGTGCTTTTTGATTAATTTCTTTGCGATAGTTGTGTATCTTGAAATATGAGGTAAATCTGGATCGTGTTCATTACTTTTTGGGGCGGTGCGGAAGCCTAGTGGTTAAGGCGTTGGCTAGTCACGCCGAAGACCCAGGTTCGATTCCTTACATGGGTACAATGTCTGAAGCCTATTTCTGGTGTACCCCGCCGTGATACTGCTGGAATATTGCTATTCCATATTGCGTAAAACCATACTCACTCACTCACTCACTTTGTATCGTGTTTCTTGCAGTGCACCAATATAACGCTCATAATATTTCTAGACAAGTTAAAAATTATAGACACGATACAAAACACGGCATCCGAAAAATAACAACAGGCTTCATATATCGAAAGATAAACAAAAAATTAGGGGCAAAAGAAACTATACTTCTCTGGTGATTATATCATGTGTTTGACTTTCAACTGAAAATAACTAAGTTAGCATACCTCAACTAGGTTTTATTTTAAAAAATATTACGTGGACATGTGGTGCCATGAAAATATTCCCGTTTCCTCCGTCACGAGATTAGAGAAACATGATATTTCACGAGACGTATGGAATATCCTATTTATATATATGCTTTGTGTGTTGTCTGTCGAAAAATTAAATTACACTCTTCAAAAAAAAGAAACGCATAGTTTAAAAATAAGGATATTTATTAAGCGGATGTAAAAGTATCTACACAGAATATGCGTGAACACAGTCATATGAAATTAGACACAGTGATCGACAAAAGCATTGTCGTCATTGAGAGCATTAATTCAGTTCAGTCATTGCACATGTGTAGCCACAAGGGGGCGTCATGGTCAGTACCTGGTCACACCACCTCTTGCAGCCGTCACAGCTCGACACCTCCTTGGCACAGATTGCACAACTCTTCGGATTTATTTGTGGTGAATACTTCGCCATTCCTCCTGTAAGGCGTTGGCGAGTTGTGCCAGTGTGTGGGGACGCTGGTGACGTTGACGGACGCGTCGATCAAGTTCGTCCCACAAATGTTCAATCGGGTTGAGATCAGGCGATTTGGACGGCCATGGAAGGACATTGATGTTCTTATTAACAAGGAAATTAACTGTTGCACGTGCTGTATGGGGCCGAGCGTTGTCATGTTGGAACAGCTCCCTCTGGCGGTCCAAAGTTGGGAGGAGGTGAGGACGCAGAATTTGGTCTATGTATCGGTTTGCTGTAAGATTGCCCTGGACAACCACCAACTGTGATCTACCCGTGTAGGATATGGCTCCCAACACCATGACACTCCCTCCACCAAATCGGTCCACCTGTCCAACGCAGTTCGGCGCAAAACGTTCATGTCGACGTTGAAGAAGAAAAGGTGACTCATCGCGGAACCAAACGCGTCGCCACTTCCCATGCCTGTCCTCTGTTGCACCACCGGACACATCCTTGACGGTGTAGACGTCGCAAGACAGGTCCAACTTTTGGTCGTCTCGCTCGAATTCCCACTTCCCTCGGAAGATTTCTGATGGTTTGGTCGGTAATTCTTCGCATACCAGGTACTTATCCTGCAGTGTCCGTTGCTGTAGCAAATCGATTCCGAAGGTGATGCAACCGGATGTACCGATCCTGAGCAGGGGTGGTCACTCTTGGTCTTCCACTTCTGGTTTGATTTTGAGTCGAATTAGTGCGGGTATATCGATCCCATAGTCGAGATATGGTGCTTTGGTGAACGTTGAAGTGTCTTGCAACGGCGGACTGGGACTCCCCTGCTTCCAAACGTCCAATGGCAATATTTCGGTCAGCTGCAGTTAATCTTGGCATTTTTCGATTTCCGTTCAAGTCAGAAAATTTGTAATGAACTGATGAAATTTCTACGGTCTTTTATAGTTTGCAAAATCTTACACAATATAAACAGAAGTAAGAAAAAAATATTTAGATCACAAAAATTCTGTATCATTCATATAGATATGGCAATAAGCAAAATCATCTTTAAAAGATTATATTCTTAAAAACTACTCGACCGCTATTGGGAGCGAAAGAATACACCCTGGTCAAGTAACAAAAGTGGCGCTTTGCGAAAAGATAGACGAGTTAAATTAAAAATTTACAGTTTGTAACGAGATTTGCGAGAGAATAATACTGGGCACGAAGCGATATTAACTCCATAAATGACCATATGTCATTATTTTGCCTTGTCAATGTGGAACTAACGTAAAAAGGAAATCACAGCTTCTGTACAGGCCAGACACTTACAATAAAGGGAGACAATTTGAGGGGAAATAACTCTCGTATGACAATAGTTCCGTCAAACTGTGATGTTCACAACAGTGAAATATTAAGTGTTATGTTCACTGCAATGAAAAAATCACTTTTTTTTCAACTCTGGGAAACTCTTTTCACACTGAAGTATATAATAAAACCCAATAAACAGGAAACCTTGCCTACCAGCCGAGTACTGTTACAAAAACTTTGAAAGTCCCGTTTGCTGGGTTGCGGGTTGTTGGCAGCACGGTAGTCACGGTTTCAGTTACCGTCTGGTAGGTTTCAGAAATCTGATGGAAGTTTTGGGTATTCGTTTGGTGCACTGACAGAAATAGTTAGTGAAGTTTTTTCCATACTTAGTGAACTTAACTGTCCACTCAGATACTAACATGATAGAAGATTTTACTAATCAGTTAGTAAATATTTACTAATTAGACTAGTAGAGGAGGCCTATCGTAGACTAGTACAGATTACTAATCATTTATTAGAGATACTATCCATTTTCTTCTCATAATATAACTAACTTCAATAATGTATTTACTAAGCTTGTAGCTACTGAATACAATTTGCCAAAAAAACAAGTAAATAACACAAACAATACAGGTGAACGATAACATATAATGATTTTCAGTAGTATTTAAAGTTCATTTACACAATACCACGAAAAAGTAATTGGCAGGTAAATAAAATAAACAAATATTGTTTTACAATGGCAAACTAACCAAACATCACTTCTTTATTGAGTTCATATTTAAATTTGGTTAGTCATAAAATAATTAGATATTTACGTGTCTCTAGATGGGGAGCCTGACATGGAACCAGGCGGAAGTGGGGAATGTCACGTTGTCTTGACCCCGAAACTGAATTAAAACAAATCTGTGACGTCATTCCCTGAATTCCTTAAAAATATTTTACACCGTCATTTTTCTCAGTGGAGGAAAGGGTTCCGTTATCGCCTGTTAGGCAGGGTTTCAGTAATCGCATAGCAGCCTGGGTTTTACTGAACATATTGCATGGTTTCAATAATCGTCTGGTAGGTTTTAGTAATCGTATTGCAGGATTTAACGCCGCGTTCAAGATTATTGCACTAATATAGCGATGTGCATGCACGTGTGTGTGGCTGCTTGTACTAGTCTTGACTAATGCCAAGTTTATAGGCCACTGAGATATCTTATAGCAGTTTAACATTAATACACCACTCAGACACAGTATACTGACTCCTTGTTTGGGCCCCTTAATGCCGAGCGCCATGCATGTCTATAATGTTTGGCAAGTCTAGATTCTGCAGTATCTGAAAATGAAGAGAGTCTCTGGGACTATGTTTTCTGTACGATATGTTCATTTCAGAGACTAGATGTTAGTCTAGGTTACAACAAATGCCATCTCATAACGTCTTTTGGTATGACGCGGCCGGGGATCGAACCCTTGATCTTCCGCTCTCCAGTTTCAGTAATCGTTTCAGTAATCGTCCAGTGGGCCGGATTTTAGTAATCGTCTAGTGGGCCGGAATTCAGTAATCTTCTAGTGGGCAGGACTTCAGTAATCTGCTAATGGGCAGGATTTCAGTAATCGTTTAGCAGGCAGGGTTCAGTAATCGTCTAATGGGCAGGATTTCAGTAATCGTCTAATGGACAGGGTTTCAGTAATCGTCTAATGGGCAGGATTTCAGTAATCTGCTAATGGTCAGGGTTTCAGTAATCGTCTAATGGGCAGGATTTCAGTAATCTGCTAATGGGCAGGATTTCAGTAATCATGTACAAGGCAGGGTTCAGTAATCGTCTAATGGGCAGGATTTCAGTAATCGGCTTGCGGGGTTTCAGTAAACCTTTGGTTGGGTAGGGTTTCCCTATATTTGGATTTCATGATCTAGTATTAGCAAAGAATGCAGACGTGTAAGGGTTGACCAGACAGAGCCGAGAGAATTTTAGTTTTATAAATCAGCAAAGTTCACTGCCCTTCTGTCACGGTTCCTGTCAGCTAAGCACTGGTATGCTGCTGGGACACCTTGTCCATCCATTCGAGATATGGGGCCGGGTTAGCCATTAGGATCTCAAGCAACGCGATACAGTCCCCCTCGGCAGTGTGTGACGACGCAGGAAAACACCCAAACACATTCTTGTAGATGCTTCGTAGGGCATGGCTCGGGCGGCCAGGGTCCAGGTCTGTTGAAAGAGTAAGGACGTTTGGTTAAACGCTGTTTTGCATTGCATTTCAGTTATATGATATTCCAGACACGATCTGGCCCTGGACTAGCAAGGAATTGTTGCTGACAAAACAAGTAACGTAATCATAGTGAAGAGGGGATCTGAACCCATTATCATATGATTCTAGAATATATAAGGGACGCAACTCTGCACTCTGTGATGCTCACATTCGTGACCTAAAATGAAGTTATTTTACATCACCCTTAGTCCGAAATGACTCGTTGGCTATGCATATGACCAATGGTGTCTACCCCTGACACGGGGCGGTCGGGTAGCCTAGTGGTTAAAGCGTTCGCTCGTCACGCCAAAGACCCGGGTTCGATTCCTGACATGGGTACAATGTGTGAAGCCCATTTCCCCGCCGTGATATTGCTGGGATATTGCTAAAAGCGGCGTAAAACCATACATACTCACTCACTCACTCACTCACTCACACACTCACTACCCTTGAAGCGAAATATTACTATATGAGCTTAGATAAAAACTCCTCATTGTGAAGGGGCGGTCGGGTAGCCTAATGGTTAAAGCGTTCGCTCGTCACGCCAAAGACTCGGGTTCGATTCCTGACATGGCTACTATGTGTGAAACACATTTCTGGTGTCCCCCGCCATGATATTGCTGGAATCTTGTTAAAAGCGGCGTAAAACCATACTTACTTACTCCTAATTGTGCCAGTAAACCCATGTACAAGAAGTCCTGTCTAGAGCCAGAGACATGGACACATATTCTTTCAGTATATATTACACGGGCGACAAGTCTATGACAGACTGACAGAAGAATGCTAGCCTGTGTTCAGTCGTTTAGCCATTAAAAGTGTGATGACCCGCTTAGGACGAACCGTTAGGTTTCTCTGTCCCAGAACAGCTCCAGCCACGCGAGGAACGGGCACCCCCATTTCGAAGAAAGGGACCATAAGTTAAATACTAGTACAAACACAGTTGCAAAAATGTTTAATATTGATAAGGTTGACCGGAGACAAAAGCCACCATTACAAATAGCCTTGTATATTGTTTTAATGAAGATATTTAAAAAATTGAAAGTTTCAAATAGAGACTTCAAACTGTTAACTTTTGAAATAATGACTGAACATGTGCATTTAATACCAGAAAGAAAATCCTCCTGTGATAGGAGTAAATGTGTTTTCTGAAGTGTATCTGGCTATGGACTGGCAGCACATTACTAAGACACCATACAACACCCTTCATCAACCCCTCGGGGCACGCCAGAAACCTTATTTTGTGGGTTTGTCAGCACCATACCCGTGCTCGTGGGTTTCACCGAAGTTATAAACGACTGAGACCTGCACTTTATATCATAAATGGAGCGGCACACAGGTATTGTATTTCTACGCTGTTTCTAAATGTACTTTAGTGAATTATCGATTATATTAAGAATGACACGAAATGATAAAGAAAGAAATACCCTCCTGTGTCTGGAATAGAAACATATCTTTCATAATACAATTTATATTCCTATTGTATGATATAAATATACCATGCGAATAAACATTCGGCTAAAGTGAGTCAGTGAGTTGGGATTAACGTCGTTTTAACAGTATTCCAGTTATATCACGGCCAGTCAGCTTAATGTGGGAGGAAAGCCCGAAGTAATGCAACTCTCAGACGTTTACCACTTCGGTGAAATCCACGAGCGCGGGTATGGTGCTAAACCTAGAAACATAATCGGGGCGAACCGGGATTCGAACCCACAATCATAGGTTTCTGGCGTGCCCAAGGGACGCAACTCTGCACAGCCAATCGCGGCGCACTTGGCTAATGATCAAACTAAAGCATTACCTCTGCTGGCTAAGAGAGTATCCGCAAATCGAACATGACCTGGGAGCGTTCGTCCTATAGCTTCCAGTTCACTTTTCAGGATAGGAAAGTCGAAACGGATTCCATAGTGAGCTACCATGCAAACTGGCTCTGGGAGTCGAGCGATGAAGGCGTCCATTAACTCTGCGACATGCACATCAAATGGCTGTTGCCCTGAGAGCATGTCGTTTGTCAAACCTATTGATGAATAAGAGTGAATGTGAATGGGTAAGTGAATGTTGTTTAAACAGACAGCAATATTCCGGCCTGTATAATAATAATAATGATGATGATGATAACAACAACATTAATAATAATAATACTGTTACTACTACTACTACTACTACTACTACTACTACTACTACTACTACTACTACTACTGGCCCGTGAAAACGCCGGGGTAGAATAGGTCTTCAGCAACCCATACTTGCCGTAAAAGGCGACTATACTTGCCGTAAAAGGCGACTATGCTTGTCGTAAAAGGCGACTAACGGGATCGGGTGGCCAGGCTCGCTGACTTGGTTGATACATGTCATCGATCCCAATTGCGTGGATCGATGCTCATGATATTAACCACTGGATTATCTGGTCCATTTACAGACCGCCGTCATATAGCTGGAATATTGCTGGGTGCGGCGTTAAACAACAAACCAACCAACCAACCAACCAACTACTAGTATTGGATTTTGCCTATGCCTTGTATCTATCAGCGCGACATGGAGAGTAGGAAGAACCTGCGCCCGGCGCCTGGCGCCCTACGCCCCGTCGAGGTAGTTCCAGCATCGCCCCACAGTGACGGCACAACCCGTGAAGCGAGTCTACCAGCGATAAGCATAGCTTCATTAGCGTAGAGTATAGCACCAATGGCAGCTAGCGATGAAGGAAGGGATCAATGCATTGTGCTCTGACACGACTGACCCGCTGACTGTACAGTGTGCACCAAGTAAGACAACAAAGAAGAGGAAAGAAACTCAGGAAGCTGGGTCTTAGGTTGGGATGCTGGAATGTTAGAACCATGATTGTCAGTGGACCTCTGGGAGATGAGTGATGTACCCAAGACTGCTGTCATCAACAACGAACTCGAAGACTGCAAGTGGACATCGCCATGCTACAGGAGCTGATCACACAAGCAAGCACAGCGTCGGCTTTGCTGCAAAGGACTCAACGCTCAGAATGATAGCGCCTGCCAAATATGGGATGGAAGGACTTCTGACCGTCCTGCTCATCACATCTAATGTACGGGCATCATCGAGGCGTACACGAAGGACGAGTTCCAGGTCAACGACCAGCTCCAGACCATCATCAATGACCACTGGTCAAGAACAGCTGCTACTGGTCAGCGCTTTGAATGAAAGAGCTGGTACTGACCATGAATGCTGTCCCTTCTCTCAGTGACAATAGACAGGGGTGGCCCAGTCGTCCAAGGCGCCGAGATTCGCTGTGCAGAGTTGCGTCCCTTAGGCATACCAGAAACCTATGATTGTAGGTTCGAATCCCGGTTTGCCCCGATTATGTTTCTAGGTTTGTCAGCACCATACCCGTGTTCGTGGGTTTCACCGAAGTGGTAAACGCCTGAGACCTGCATCACTTCGGGCTTTCCTCCCACTTTAAGCCGACACGCCGTGATATGACTGGAATACTGTTAAAAGCGGCGTTAAACCCAACTCACTCACTCTCTCAGTGACAATACGGAATTGCCAAGATGAATGAAGATAGACAGCTCCTCGCTTGCACCGATTCCTTCTCCCTGACTAAGACTTGGCACAAGGTGACACCTCGGTTCAAGCATGGCGCCAGCTGGACCTGATCATCACCTCAGTACCGTGCTTGTACCTCATGTATCACATGTTTGTACCTCAGTACCGACCATTCCTTTGCCTGATTGGTTGGATGAAAGGTCGTTCTGACGTGACCCGTAATGGGAGGTCCTCAGAATTTTTTTCAGCGAGAACTAAGATCTAATTTTAATGAGATTGAGTGATTGAGTTGGGTTTAACGCCGCTTTTAACATTATTCCAGTTATATCACGGCGTGTCAGCTTAATGTGGGAGGAAAGCCCGAAGTGGTGCAGGTCTAAGACCTTTACAACTTCGGTAAAACCCACGAGCACAGGTATGGTTTTGACAAACCATAAACATAATCAGGGCAACCGGGATTCGAACCCACAATCATAGGTTTCTGGCGTTCCCAAGGGACGCAACTCTGCACAGGGAATCGCGACGCCTTAGACGACTTGGCCACCCGTGCCCCCTAATGAGATTGAGAGTGTTGATCCAGTGGTGCAGGTTCTGTGTTACTTACCCGAGAGCTCCTGGGCTTTGTCGTCGATATCCTTCTGTGGGTTGAGACATATCAACAGTTTGTCGATAACCCTGGGGAGCCTTGGTCCCCCAGCTAAAATATCATCTCTCGACACTGCCAGAAAACAAAGTTCACTGATCTTGGCATCTTCCAAACCTGTTGTTTCCAAATCCATTATGATAAAGGACTTGATCACTGGTGCAATTGTGGATTTGGATTTTCGTTTCGACATTGCAGAGGGTGTGTGACTTAACGTTGAACTTGAGTTCTCTGTTGGAAAAACGATGACAGAAGTAGATATATACTTGTGATAGTTGCAATTCCACCTCCTCTATTTTACTTACAGAAACAATGACGTAATATTTTCCTAATTGGTAAACATAAATTAAAAAATCATTTCACACATTTTTTCATCGATGTTAGTTCATGTTAACTGATAAAATAACACAGTAATAAAATGTTTAACACCGAATTCACTAGGCTGCCCGACCGCCCCAGCTGGATTAGACAATCCAGTGATTGATATCATGAACATCGATCCACGCAATTGGGCTACGATGACATACATCAATCAAGTCAGCAAGCCTGACCAGTCGATCCTGTTAGTCGCCTCTAACCAGAAGCATGGGTTGCTAAAGACCAATTCTAACTCGGAACTTCACGTGTCATAACATATGAAAAGACAAAGGAATCTAAAACTATAAACTTGCTGAAGTATATTGCACTGAAGATACCTTGTAAACATGTATACATGTATATTAATTCCGGTTTAGAATTGGTCCCCATCAACCCATGCTTGTTATTATGGCAGAAATCAACAGTCTTGATACTCTCAATTGATGTTTATTGTCCGTTATTCCTTGACAATAATAAGTGAAAAGCTCATTCGTTTGGATCTGTTAACATGCTTTTCCTTTGAACGTTAGCGTTGAATGAACATCGTTGAGGTTCAAGAAAATCTGTGTTCTGCAATAGTTCATGACCACAGGCCCCTGAAGCAGGATAGTGATATAACTGAAACAGTGGACCCATATATATAAATAGACAAGGTACGTCACTCGCCATCTTGGCCGAAGTTGCAATCGGCTGTATCGTTTAAATTAAATGGAAATGTGTGCATGTCATGTTCACAATAACTCCCCACCTCCCTTCAAATACGACCTGCATGCCACAAACCTTCATTTTTCGCAATTTATTACCTATATCGGGTGATTTTATCGACATATTGGCTCAGTCGCGGCTGTGGGTCACGGAAGTATACAAAAATCTCCGCACTCAAATATCCCTGAGCGCTCTGATTGGTAAATATCCCTATGTGTGTTTGTTATGGTTGGAGCGCGGACCAATCAGAGCGCTCAGGGACATTTGAGTGCGGAGATTTTTGTATACTTCCGTGACCCACAGCCGCGACTGAGCCAATATTTCGTAAAAATCACCCGATATAGGTAATAAATTGCGAAAAATGAAGGTTTGTGGCATGCAGGTCGTATTTGGAGGGAGGTGGGGAGTTATTGTGAACATGACATGCACACATTTCCATTTAATTTAAACGATACCGTCGATTGCAACTTCAGCCAAGATGGCGAGTGACGTACCTTGTCTATTTATATATATGGGTCCACTGTTTCAGTTATATCACTATCCTGCTTCAGGTGCCTGTGTTCATGACATGTTTCTCCAACATGGAGATCTTTCACACTGAAGGTGACAGTCACATGACCAGAAACTAATCCCATGATGCAACACAACTGATTATAAGTCACAAAAACTTTTTCCTGAACCTGTGATCGAACCCTGAACCTTTATGCTGCTAGTCCAGTGACAGAACCAACAGACCATTGTTAAGGCTGATATATGTACATGAAATTAATAAATTATACATTTTGCACTAACCCATTGTTAAGGCTGATATATGTACATGAAATTAATAAATTATACATTTTGCACTAACCCATTGTTAAGGCTGATATATGTACATGAAATTAATAAATTATACATTTTGCACTAACACTTGTTGTACGAGGCGACCTTATTGATCTGACCCAGACACGACAATATATACATACTGTCGTCACATAGCTGGAATATTGCTGTGCGCAGCTTTAAACAATAAACAGACACGTATGAAATACCCATTTCAAAGGTGCTCTAGTAGATTAAACCCCATTTCACCCCATCTCACCTATTTCCAATCGTCCCCGTGATGCAGCTGTAAATATACTCTCCTCGACCGGCAGGAGACAGGGAAGTTGTCTGGGCTGTGCTGTTCCCGGTAATCACTATGTACAATTTCAATTTCTTGGAAACGATTAGGGGCCAATTTCGATTAGATAATGTTTCTGGTTTCAGTTACAGCTTATTCTTTTTCCCCCTAGGAGAATTTGTAAGAGAATCACCAGTCAATCTAAGGTTACGCTTACATTACACGCTCACAATCATTATACAAAGTATACATAAAGTATTATTTTGTAAATCATTATAAATAGTATATATAAAGTATTATTATGAAAATCATTATTATTATCATCCGCTGTTGTCTCTTTGTCTCCAACTGAGTTATGCACTTGATAACGTAAAAGGAACCTGGCGTTTATTCACAGGCAACTACATATGACACGTATGTATCTGATCACTGGCAACTACATATGACACGTATGTATCTGATCACTGACAACTACATATGACACGTATGTATCTGATCACTGGCAACTACATATGACACGTGTGTATCACTGACAAGTACATATGACATGTGTGTATCACTGACAACTACATAAGACACGTGTGTATCACTGACAACTACATATGACACGTGCATATCACACACACACACACACACACACACACACACACACACACACACACACACACACACACACACACACACACACACACACACACACACACACACACACACACACACACACACATTCTCTGAAAAATTCTCCTAGGTGGAAAAAGAATAAGCTGTAACTGAAACCAGAAACATTATCTAATCGAAATTGGCCTCTAATCGATTCCCAGAAATTGAAATAGTACATATTGATTACCGGGAACAGCACAGCCCAGACAACTTCCCTGTCTCCTGCCGGTCGAGGAGAGTATATTTACAGCTGCATCACGGGGACGATTGGAAATAGGTGAGATGGGGTGAAATTGGGTTTAACGTGTGTGTGTGTGTGTGTGTGTGTGTGTGTGTGTGTGTGTGTGTGTGTGTGTGTGTGTGTGTGTGTGTGTGTGTGTGTGTGTGTGTGTGTGTGTGTGATATGCACGTGTCATATGTAGTTGTCAGTGATACACACGTGTCTTATGTAGTTGTCAGTGATACACACGTGTCTTATGTAGTTGTCAGTGATACACACGTGTCTTATGTAGTTGTCAGTGATACACACGTGTCATATGTAGTTGTCAGTGATACTGCGTGTCATATGTAGTTGTCAGTGATACACAAGTGTCATATATAGTTGTCAGTGATACACACGAGTCATATGTACTTGTCAGTGATACTGGCAACTACATATGACACGTATGTATCTGATCACTGGCAACTACATATGACACGTATGTATCTGATCACTGGCATCTACATATGACACGTATGTATCTGATCACTGGCAACTACATATGACACGTATGTATTTGATCACTGGCAACTACATATGACACTTGTGTATCTGATCACTGGCAACTACATATGACACGTATGTATCTGATCACTGGCAACTACATATGACACATGTGTATCACTGACAACTATATATGACACGTGTGTATCACTGACAACTACATATGACACGTGTGTATCACTGACAACTACATAAGACACGTGTGTATCACTGACAACTACATATGACACATGTGTATCACTCACAACTACATATAACACGTGTGTATCACTGACAACTATATATGACACGTGTGTATCAAAGACAACTACATATGATACGTGTGTATCACTGACAACTATATATGACACGTGTGTATCACTGACAACTACATATGACACGTGTGTATCACTGACAACTACGTATGACACATGTGTATCATTGACAACTACATATGACACGTGTGTATCACTTACAACTATATATGACACGTATGTATCACTGACAACTACATATGACACGTGTGTATCACTGACAACTACATATGACACATGTGTATCACTGACAAATACATATGACACGTGTGTATCACTGACAACTACATATGACACGTATGTATCCGATCACTGGCAACTACATATGACACGTGTGTATCACTGACAAGTACATATGACAGGTGTGTATCACTGACAACTACATAAGACACGTGTGTATCACTGACAACTACATAAGACACGTGTGTATCACTGACAACTACATATGACACGTGTTCATCACTGAAAACTACACACGACATGTGTGTATCACTGACAACTACATGTGACACATGTGTATCACTGACAACTGCATATGACACGTGTGTATCACTTACAACTACATATGACACGTTTATATCACTGCCAACTATGTATTACACGTGTGTATTACTGACAACTACATATGACACATGTGTATCACTGAAAAGTACATATGACACTTGTGTATCTGATCACTGACAACTACATATGACACGTGTGTATCACTGACAACTACATATGACACGTGTGTATCGCTGACAACTACATATAACACGTGTGTATCACTTACAACTTCATAAGACACATGTGCATCACTGACAATTACATATGACACGTGTGTGTCACTGACAACTACATATGACACGTGTGTATCACTGACAACTAGATATGACACGTGTGTATCACTGACAACTACAGATGACACGTGTGTATCACTGACAACTACATATGACACGTGTGTATCACTGACAACTACATATGACACGTGTGTATCACTTACAACTACATATGACACGTGTGTATCACTGACAACTACATATGACACGTGTGTATCACTTACAACTTCATAAGACACATGTGCATCACTGACAACTACATATGAAACGTGTGTATCTGATCACTGACAACTACATATGACACGTGTGTATCACTGACAAGTACATATTACATGTGTGTATCACTGACAACTAAACATGACACGTGTGTATCACTGACAACTACATATGACACGTGTGTATCACTGACAAGTACAAATGACACATGTGTATCACTGACAACTACATATGACACGTGTGTATCACTGACAAGTACAAATGACACATGTGTATCACTTACAACTAGATATGGCACGTGTTTATCACTGACAACTACATATGACACGTGTGTATCACTGACAACTATGTATAACACGTGTGTATCACTGACAACTACACATGACACGTGTGTATCACTGAAAAGTACATATGACACTTGTGTATCTGATCACTGACAACTACATATGACACGTGTGTATCGCTGACAACTACATATGACACGTGTGTATCACTTACAACTTCATAAGACACATGTGCATCACTGACAACTACATATGACACGTGTGTGTCACTGATAACTACATATGACACGTGTGTATCACTGACAACTACATATGACACGTGTGTATCACTGACAAGTACATATTACACGTGTGTATCACTGACAATCAAACATGACACGTGTGTATCACTGACAACTACATATGACACGTGTGTATCACTGACAACTACATATGACACGTGTGTATCACTGACAAGTACATATGACACGTGTGTATCACTGACAACCAAACATGACACGTGTGTATCACTGACAACTACATATGACACGTGTGTATCACTTACAACTACATATGACACGTGATTATCACTGACAACTACATATGACACGTGTGTATCACTTACAACTAAATAAGACACATGTGCATCACTGACAACTTCATATGACACGTGTGTGTCACTGACAACTACATATGACACGTTTGTATCACTGACAACTAGATATTACATGTGTTTATCACTGACAACTACATATGACACGTGTGTATCACTTACAACTACATATGACACGTGTGTATCACTGACAACTAAACATGACACGTGTGTGTCACTGACAACTACATTTAACACATGTGTATTACTGACAACTACATATGACACGTGTGTATCACTGACAAGTACAAATGACACGTGTGTATCTTTTACAACTACATATGGCACGTGTTTATCACGGACAACTACAAATGGCACGTGTGTATTTCTGACAACTACATATGACACGTTCTGATCACTGACAACTACATATGACACGTGTGTATCACTGACAAGTACATATGACATTGTGTACCTGACCACTGAGAACTAAATATGACACGTGTGTCTATTGATTACTGACAGCTACACATGCCACGTGTTTATTGATCACTGACAGCTGCACATGACACATGTTTATTGATGACAGACAGCTGCACATGACACGTATTTATTGATCACTGACAGCTACACATGACACGTGTTTATTGATCGCTGACAGTTACTCATGGCACGTGTTTATTGATCACAGACACCTACATATGACACGTGTGGATCTGATAACTTTAAACAGTTAAAGGGCAAGTTCACACGGAAATGAACCAATTTTTCTTGTACTTTTTCCACATTAAAAGTGTTAACATAGAAGTGTCATAGACAAAAATATAAAAACATCATATTTAATTAACATATTTTTTGCATTAAAACGATTTATATTTTTCACATTTACCAAGTGTTCTATTTCCATAACAAAAACACCATGGCTTATGCCCCTTGCAATATGACGTCATTGGTGCCAATTGATAAACATTATGACGTCATCATGCTTTGTTAGAGCCGCTTCACGTGGTGTAGGTACAGTTTTGTGATTCTAGCGTCTCAGATGCCAGCCAGAATTGTGTTATGCTGAGTCACCACTACGCCGGAGTGTGTCGTAGACCATGTTGTTTTACCGCAAACTGGTCCTTGATATCTTTTGCGTTGAGAATAGACAGGGACCCAGTTGAATTGGCACCAATTACGTCATAATCTAAGGGGGATAACTCAGGCCTATTTCGCTCGTAAAACGAAGGCCTCATAACGACATATCATTTTAACACTATTGTGAGCTTCCTACTTTCACTGTGAAAAAAAATGAGCGTATATTTTCAAACACAGATACTAACTAATTCTAAAATTGCGTTTTGTTTAGAAAAAGAAAGAAAGTGATTTTTGCGTGTACACTTCCCCTTTAAAGTATGGCAGGAAACCAGGCCAACATATGCACAGCGCCATTACTGCTCTGTCTTAGGAAGTCCGTGGTAAATATAGCCAGTGTGAGATGGCGAGTAAACTAATAC